CTGTTAGTGCATTGCTAAATCAATCATGCCCTATACAAACACCCAATACAACACTTTTCAATTTTGGAATATTCCTTGATGCCCTTCAATCTGGTGTTGTGGAGTCAAAAGATTTTCCAGAGAAATTTTTTTACTGTTTTTGGTGGGGCCTGCAAAACCTAAGGTGCGCTCATATATGATCCTTTTCATTTATTTTCCTTTGCCCATAGAGTTTTTGCTGGGTCCTTGCTTGTTTCTCTCTACTAGATGGGCCGTATTTCAGCTATATTTTGCTAAATCTTTTGTTTTTTCTGAAAAGTATTTTGCTAAATCTTTGACTCCAGCTTAATTGTGTTCTGTCCATCTCTAATATGCTTGTTGCCATACCTTTTTTTGAGTTCTTTGTCACTAGTTTTGGTAGTTGACAATATTTATCATTGATCTCCCAACCATGGACTCTATTTATAGATAATGTCTAATGTTGTTTTTATTATAATGATAAAATGAATCTTTATTTTGTTGGACAAAATTTACGAATCTAATTAAATAAGATTTTCCCCAGCAAGTATTTACTCTTTCAACATAGTTTTTGCCATCTAGGTAAGTTGTTAACTCATGACCTCTCAGAATCATAATAAAAATAAATGAAGTAGTCTCTTGTTTTTATCATCTTGTCTTCGCTTTGAGGGGGTGGGTTGCAAAAATTTGCATGCGGTGTACATCGCACATATAATGTGATGAACCTCCCTTCTCATAATATATGTGATGATCATTGATAGAACTCAGGGTGTAAGCATTTGCCCTTTTCCTATAAATTTGTTCATCATTTTTTTCCTTTTTTTTTTTTTTTTTGAGGTGGGTGGGAAGTGATGTTGTGATCAGTGACTAATGTTTGATGCAGTGATGAAATTGAGATTGATTCATGACAGTGCAGAATGCTTCATTAGCTCTTGTGGTGCTTTAAAAAACTGCGATTAAATGCTTTTAAGAGGTCTCTGCTGAGTGATGGCTTTAATTATTGTCTTCTTTATTTAGGCTTGTTGAAGATTGACTCTTTTGTCCATCTTCAGTCCAACTGAGTTTTTATAATTTTGGACTATATTCATTTACTTTCAATTTTCTTTTTTAAAACAGGTTTTTGTTTTCTTCTATTACTTGTATTCTCTCTCTTTCCTGTGGTTAGCATATTGCCATTAAGTTCTGACACTAGTGTCTGGTATCTTTGTGCTTCACTTTTTTGCAGTTCTCTGGGTCAGAACCTTGAAACTAGTACCTATGTTTGGGAAATCTGCTTTGCAGTTTTCATGTCGATCTCGGGCTTGGTTCTGTTTTCATTTCTCATTGGAAATATGCAGGTTAGTACCAAGAATCTCTGTTCTTTGAATTTGAATGTCAAGTTATTCGGTTTGTAGCTGCGGAACTGGTTTCTAATTTATAGTAGGACAGATCATTTGGTATCTTTAAATCTTTCTACTCTGAAGGCTTTTTCTAAAGAATTTAGTTTCTACCGTTGTGAGTTTTGTAAGTCTTCTGCATAAGCTGCATGCTGTTCACTGGACTGTACTTCTGGATCCCCAATCTCTTCTCTTGAGAAGCATAAGTAATCTGTTTGCAATGGCTGAAGCTTTTTTGTTGATGTCAGATTTTATAATGTCCAAGCATTTTGATTCTCTCTCTCTCTTACTTTCTCTCTTATATTTATTATACAATGTGTATTGGGAGCAACATATAGGAAATACGTGACTCATGCTGTTACTTCTGCAATTCTTTCTGTTGCTTTCTCCAACAATTTACAAGGAGATATTAAGCAGCTCTACGGTTCTTTAGTTGTGTCTACTGTGAAATAGTTTGGATGCTCCAACTTCACTCTTACTAAAGAGACCATTAATTATAGGTTATGATGAGTCAAATTTGCTGTGAAACAGACATATTTGCAGTCCACGACTACCAGATTGGAGGAGATGAGAGTGAAAAGACGTGATGCAGAACAATGGATGTCCCACCGCTTACTACCAGAAAATCTGAGGGAGCGGATAAGACGATATGAGCAATACAGGTGGCAAGAAACTAGAGGAGTTGATGAAGAGAATTTACTTCGTAATCTCCCCAAGGACCTTAGAAGGGATATAAAGCGCCATCTATGCTTGGCTCTGCTCATGAGAGTAAGTGCCTTGACCTTCTGATCATTGTTTTAATTGGATTGCATCCTTTTCTGGAGTAAGATTGCTAGATGTTATTATTTGACTTGCATTTGTTCCATTAATCACTAATTTTAAGGTTATCTCACTCTTTTGCTTTGATGTTACAGGTGCCCATGTTTGAAAAAATGGATGAACAATTATTGGATGCAATGTGTGACCGTCTTAAGCCGGTTCTCTACACAGAGGAGAGCTACATTGTTCGGGAGGGAGACCCAGTTGATGAGATGCTCTTCATCATGCGGGGTAAACTATTGACCATGACAACAAATGGTGGAAGAACTGGCTTCTTTAATTCTGAATATCTGGGGGCAGGAGACTTCTGTGGAGAGGAACTTCTTACATGGGCACTGGATCCCCATTCTTCATCGAACCTCCCAATCTCAACTAGAACTGTTCGAGCCCTTACTGAAGTTGAAGCTTTTGCTCTAATGGCTGATGACTTGAAGTTTGTTGCTTCTCAGTTCCGCCGGCTTCATAGTAAGCAGCTACGTCACACTTTCAGGTTCTATTCACAGCAGTGGAGGACTTGGGCAGCTTGTTTCATACAAGCAGCTTGGCGCCGGTATAGCAAAAAGAAACTGGAAGAATCTCTTAGAGAAGAGGAGAATAGATTGCAAGATGCTTTAGCTAATGCTGGTGGGAGTTCCCCAAGTTTAGGTGCCACTATTTATGCCTCACGGTTTGCTGCCAATGCACTTCGTGCTTTACGGCGAAATCGTACTCGTAAAGCGAGGTTGCCAGAGAGGGTACCACCTATGCTGCTTCAGAAGCCAGCAGAGCCAGATTTTACTGCTGAAGAACATTAGGCAGGTAGGTTTCTCTCTCTCTCTGTCTTGTTATATGAAAGTTGTGTTTGGAACAGAGTAGGAAATCTCATCCCTCCCAAGACAGGGAAACGTGTAATGGTAGAAAGCTGCCGTTTGTTGTGTTTGAGGTCTGTATATGTTGTCTATGTAAATCTTCCATTATTCTTTGTTCCCGATCAGTTGTCAGCAATTACCGCTTTGTTCTACTGCAGTTACTATATATAAAACATTCAGTATAACAGATTGAAGAGTTTTGCTGCATCATGTAACATGGAGAACAAAGCCTTGCAGAGTAAGTTGAAAAAAGTGCTTCATTTTTTTAAAAAATCCTACCTTAGGCTTAAAAATCTAGTGGGCTATTCGTTGAAAGCCTCATAAAGATGCCAGATGGACCACTCTTAACTCACTCAGCAGCAAAATTGCTTTGTTAATTAAGGATTTGTTTAGTAATTAAAAAATAATTTGTTGGAAAAAATTAGTGTAAAATATTTTATAAAAAATTTTCATGTTTTTGGATGTTTGGATAAACTATTAAACATATTTATTATTATTTAAATCATCTTGTGAAAAATATATGTTATCATCATTAATGGAATTATTTGGGTATTAAAATAATAAATAAGAGTTTATCATTTGTTTTTTACATTAAAATTAAGAATAAAAATCAAAATAAAAAAAACTAATAATGATATTTTCAAAACATTTAACCATCATATATTTTTTTTACTAAACATTGTAAAAATATCGATATTAATCAGTTGTGTAAAATATTTAAAATTTATATTTATAAATATATATTTTTTAAATGATGATTATTAAAATATTTTTTGTTTTAATTATTAATAAGGTTTATTCAATTTATAAATAAAAATATTAATTGAATTGAATGGTTAGATTAAAAAATATTTTTTAATTTTAATAGTAATGGATAATTTAAATATTAATATTTTAAGTTATTTTTTAAATTAAATATTAATGTTTTAAGTTAAATATTAATATTGATTAAACTTATTATGTCAAGCTTAGTATAAGAGTAATTTTTTCGTTTTCTGAAAAATATCTCACACTTTTTAAGAGCATAAGACATTTTACATAATCTATAGTTATTTTTTTTTGTTGCCTTATAAAATATTTCACATTTAATATATTTTTTTTCATTTTTTTAAATAAATATAAATTTTAAAAATATCTTTCGAAAACTATATCACATCAAAACAAATAGACCTTAAAAGTATTTGCCATGACATGGTATGGTTAGCCAGTGAAGCATACCCTCCTTTATTTGATTGTGATGGAGGAGGAGTCTGAATGGAGTGGTTTGGAGTCTGAAAAGTCTTGTATACATATTTGGGTTAAAGATCAGAAACTTCTCCATTTTTGGATTGCATTGGGAGCTTTCAGAAGATGATATTATATATATGTATATAAGACGAAAGGAGACATTTCAGCTTTTGGAAACACTGGCATCTCCGCCTGGATTCCTGACAATAGTACAAATAAAACTCCATCACTCAATTGATGAAAAACTTGATACCTTTTTAGATGCAGTAGTTGACTCTACGAGGTCTACGCACCATGGACGCATATGAAAGTTGTTGCTACTGTAATCAGAATCGTGTTGTTAAAGCTTAAACTTGTGTGTTTCGTTTCGTTTCGTTGGTGTTGACATGGGGATTTGTGGTTGAACTAGGAAACCATGAAGAATACGGTACTTCAGTTGGGAGAAAGAAGAATATCGTACTTTTGTTTTGCAGCTTGTCTGCCTCCTTCCCCTTGCTCGAGACAGTGATTTTGAATGTTTTCAAACAATTAAAGAAGGATTCAAACCTGAAATATCATGTTCAATGTTCTGATTTCAGTAACCATTAAGTTAATATTAGATGATTGTTATTAGTATAATATAAGACAAGACATTATCTAAAACTCGTCACTAACACTAAGAAAAAGAAATTGCAGTTACTGCAGCAAGTTCCGTAAGGTTTAAATGTTAGTATAATAATGACATTTAATGAAGTATATAAATGATAATCTATATCTAATTTTATATATTATCAGTAAATTACAATTGGCGTCCTTATCGTTATTGACAACCAATACTAAAGAAAACGAAAGCCATGAGAATTTTGTTGATTCAACAATAAATCACAGTCAAACTAGATAATTACATGGCAAAACAGCGATCATTCACCACTTTGCCGCTGGTGAGGGTACATATTTCCTCTAGCAAAATCTTACCATTCCTTTAGAACTTCTTTTGGAGAAAACATTGTTCTATGATATAAACTGCACAATACCTGTTTCAGGCGATTTTAGACAGTTGCATGTCATTGAAGCATACGACATATCCATTAATGAGAAATTGCTAAAAGGGTATCTCACTATTGTGCTATGGAAGCTTGCAATATTGACATAGCCCAAGATACTAATCCTCAGATTTCTTGACGGCCAAACAGAACTCTCTGTTGTCCTAAATTAGATACGTGCTGCTGGTAACTATACAAAATGACAGTATTCCACTAAATGCAAGAAACCGGGCTTCCCTAAAAGAGATGGCTGGACAGAACAAGAGGCTTCAGTTTGGCTTTCATCTCCTTGGAATTTGCCCGGAGGATACTATCTAGAGTTGAAACAGCTTGTACAATGTGTCTCCCTTTATTCAACATAATGCAGCTTGCCCTGGCAAAATAAAATGAGGAGCTTTTAATCCTCCCGTGCATTTGAACGTTTAAGTGCAACTTCTTCTAGGAGAAAGGAGGAAAAGAAACATAAAGAACTTCATTGAAATCTTATTACAATGGAATTCAGATTCTTGTTGGTATGTATGTTAATTTAAACAAAGAAGAGTTCGAGAAAGATGGGAGAAGGAGGCTGAGGTGGCGGCAGTGGTGGAGGGAAATCCATTGGCTCAAGACCACTTCACTCAACAGAAGGAAAAGTATTTGTATTATGCTATGCCAGCATAATATGTGAGAAGCTATATTAATAAACAAAACTTGCATTCAGGATGGTGGAAATGCATGTAAAATTGGCTGCATAACTACTGAAGTGCTTATGCATCTCAAAACACATTATGAGGAGTTAAATGAATTTCATTGATCAATAATATGTAAATAGCCAGGGAAATATAATTGGACCACTTACCTCCTTCCATTTGCAACATCAGTAATCTCAGCTCTGGTAGGAATACCAGATTTGACAAGTGATTCCAGGACCTGAGTTGCCCAAATAACTGGTATATGAGCAGCGCCACAAACAGACAATATTTCCTCTTGTATATCAGCCAATCTTTCCCAGCCACACTCTACTGCAAGATCTCCCCTGGCAATCATAACCCCTAAAGGATTTGAAGACTTCATCGCCTCCAAGAGCAAGAGGGGCAATATCTCAAACCCACTTTTTGTTTCAATTTTCAAAACAATCCCCAAGTTCTGAAGTTTCCTTTTCTCCAGTTCTTGGAGAAGCACAACAACATCACGAGTATCTCGAACAAATGAAACACCCACCATGTCTGCATGGGAAGCAACAAATTCGAGATCCACCAGATCCTTTGAAGTCAGACCTTCGTACCGAATATCGCTGTCTGGAATGTTGATGGATTTCTGTGATCCAAGTTTAGTCCCTCTTGGGCCAGCATGAGTAATTGAGACAACAATCTCTGAACTACTAGTTCCCTTGATGACTCCCCAAATCTTTCCATCATCAAAAGCTATGCGCTCTCCAGGTTTGACTGCATCAAACAGATAGCCTGATGAACATGCTATTCTATAAGCATGACTCGTGTGCCCATAGGAGTTATCCTGGTCAGACTTACCATCCTGCGATATAATTAGCAAGTCTCCAACTCTTAGTCTGATAAATGACTCTCTAGCAGGGATATCTACCACTTTTCCAACAAGGAACCTACCTTTCTTCCTCTTAATAAGTAATTCTGTTCCAGAACTAACATAAGCAGTCCTAGTACACTCAGCCATAAAACCAGTACCTGAAAAAATGTGAAAGACTCTGGAGATCTTTAGCATCCTTTTCTTACCTCTAGCATCAAAGAACCTCAAAGTATCACCTACTTTGATCTCAGTGAGAAATTCTTGGTCATCTATGAACAGAACTGCATCAGGAGAAAGATGAGGAGGAGGCGGGCCTGCTCCTTTGTGAGAAAGCCAGACTTGTGCAGGAAAAATCACATTTCCAGAAGCATTTTTCTTGGGAGATATTTTTACCACACATGGACCAGGTTTTAGATTATCTGTACGAAGTTTTGGTCCAGCTAAATCCATAAGAATTCGACATGGTGCCTCCAGCATTTGAGAACTTTGTTTTACTCTTCTGATTATCTCACTCCAAATTTCCGGGTTTCCATGTGCACAATTGATTCGAATAATAGAAGTCCCAGCCTTTATAAGATTGGTTATTAGTGTTTCACTCTCAAGAGCTTCTTCGCCAACTGTTGTCATGATATGCGTAAGTCTGCTATCTTGAAGTGGTCCCAATAATAACTCTCTATTTAAAAATGCCTTCTTCCTCATTGCATTTATCATGAAATTCCCTTTATTTTGCTGATCTAATTTTTCCTGCATGCAAATTTCAGCACTAACATTCTCATTAGCCCTTACAGAATTTAATTGTAGGTTTCCTAACAGTTGGATGCCTGTGGTTAGACTTGCTAGGACAGATGAATTGACCATCTCCAAATTCAACAGACTGATCAAAGCAAGATCATCCTTGAGTGCTTCAGTGTCAAGAGATTTCAAAGCCAGATAATGGATTAAGTTTGTTGCACTCTCCATGTAATTTCTGCAATGATGAATACTCCATGTGTTAGAAAATGCCTCCCCAAGTAAGAAACTTGAAGTGCATAAAAGAGTAAAAAAAAAAAGGAAGTTCCAAAGGGCAGCCAATATCTCTTCTCAAGTCACTGTTTTTGTATTTTCCACTTTCTTAATGGTGAAGAATCTCATAAAAATCATAAACAACCTGCTTTATATTAACTAGGCTAGAAAAATAAGATAAATATTTTGCATAAAAATTTATTTATTCATTTATTTGTTTGGGCTTGAATTCAGCTTTCAACTCAACAAAACACTAAAAGGTATATAAATTGAAAACTACTTTGTATATTCTGAAAGAAAATGCAAGGTTGATTTGCATACATTTTCATTACAGACCGCAACAACAAATGATGAACTCATGTATACAATAATGAAGAATAAGCTAAACATAAAATTCAGACCTACCAATGATTGGCCTAATTTATTTGGTAATTGGAGCTAGCAATGATTAAGGTGGAGAAAATAAAGAAAATTCACAGATCAGCTTCAGATTAAAGACCACAGATGCCAATCCATAGGTCAATAGATTAAATTTATGCAAATAAATATAAATATGGCATAAGATTTGAGTCAAAGAAACAGAACTTTAAGAACCCAATGAAAAATAAAAATACCAGATGGTAGAACAACTAAAGTGCAGACATAAGAAAAATTCTAGTTCCAAACATACTTGCGAGATAGCTTCAGCCTAGAAGCATTCCATTGTTCCGATGCTAACACATGTAAATATACAGCCCTCAATTTGTCAAGAACGCTTGCCTGGTTTCCCAAGTGCTCAACCCTCTGAAAGAATCCTGCTTCTGATTTTGAAAGAGAATCAACAGCTTCCCCATCCACATGACAGGAACTATTGTAATTTTCCAAAGGCATGAGAACTTGATCATCGGAACAAGCACACGACCTGCTTCTTTCAGCTTCATTGTTTTCATTTGGAATAGAAAAAGCTGCAGTCTTTCTAGCGAGGGTGCTCCTGAATTTTGCTGATAATTGAACCATTTGCGCTGGCTGTCTTACATTAAGTCTGCAAGGCTGATATGCAAAATTCCCCCTCAGGGTGCATAATCCCAATTCCGAAACATCAGCTGTGTGGATAGCCTGGTAATATGGCATATCAAGATAAGGCCAAATTAAAACATTTCATAGGAAAAAAAAAAGTCTTGATTTGTTTATTAGAATGAACCTTTTTCCCAAAGTATAGTTAAAATCTAATTAAACCTAAAAGATTAGGGAACTAATAATGTGAATAAGGATTTTCAATGCAAAATCCATAAGAATTCATTGTTAAAAATAAATTATTATTTATTCCCAAGGATTCAATGAAAAATTGAAGGAAAAGGCAGTAATTACATGGCGTGGTATAGCCTTGTGATTCGTAACTACAGAAGCCGTCATCTATTCGCTGATACTCAACCACAAATACAGAAAGTTCAAACCTGCAAACCAGTAAATATTATGACTATTAAAAAGCTTCAGATTCATCTAAACAGTTATAACTAATCAAAGGTGAAAAATTACTTCCAATTTTTTATACAAGAAAGAAAAGTTGTTCATTTCAACAATCAAATTCGGATAAAAAAGATTAACGAAATGTACAAACTGACTTCGTTTGTTTTCACCGGAAAAGAATTTGCTTGAGAGCAGAAACCTAAATGGAAATTCTCTGTAAAAATCACGAATCTATGAACAACAATGTATTTTGGTTTTGACTTTTCAAAATTGAGAAGAAAAGCGTTAGATAAGTCCAGGCAAAATCGAGATTGTTAGGTACCTACTTGCGGTGCTGAGAAGCTTTTTTGGTTCCTCCCTGCCTGTGTTCCTCGGCAGCTGCGGCTTTGCCTTTGCTCGAGAAGGAGAAAACCAAAAACGTGAGAGGAAATGAGTGAAGGAGGGAGTGTGGATAGCGCGTGCCAGATTCGGTCAATGCTCGACACGTGGAAGAATCTATCAGACATAGGGTGATTCAAGGCCGCCAATTTGGGTTATTGCGACTGGGGAACAGAAGGAGATTTGACCCATGCATATTTTTTAATTCTAATATTTAAGTTTGATTTCTTTTTCCTAAAAAAATGACTTTGCCGATCGTATTTTAATCACAGTTTGTCAATCATAATCCTCAATCCATTCATAAAGCCAAACTCAAAATATATAATATATATAATAAAAAGAAAAGGAACTGACGCTTGTTCATGGAAAATGATTATCTATAATTCCATCAAACCTTGACGGACTAATGCTGGCCACAAATTTAAGCACAACGAAACTGCAGACAAAGTAGTTTAGACAAGGGGGAGGGGGTCAGAACTCAGATGAAAGAAGAAGAAAAATTGGAATTTGGCCATGTAGTCGTCACTTTAGAAACTCAACCAGTATTGCACGGATTTGAGACTTAAAATTAAGGTTTAATAACTACATGCCACTGAACTATACACAATTATTTCATTAAATTTTATAACTTTTTATTACATTTAAATGAAAATATACTCATGTGTCAAAATCATTAATATATATATTTATTCTTCAAAAAATAATTTTTTAATGATTTCGATATCAACATCACTTGTTACCAAATAATCTCACCCACCATCAAAATACGCCCAACATATCATCGTATCAAAAACTGTGACAGAAAATACAACTGTCATTGAAATTAACGAACACAATTAAAAGTTAAATTATTTTAAATAATTATATATAATTTAAAAACTTTATTTTGTACTAACCTAAAATTAAAATATTTAACGAACAATAGGACCGTGTAACGCAATTCACGAAATACATAAATAATAGACCATGATTATAAACCATACTAACTCTAACCTTAATACATGAACCATGATTTAGCAACCAAAGAGCAAACCCATAGTAGAGTTCATAAAGGCGTCAACAAGCGCAACCTCACCTCCTTTCTAACCCATTCGCTTAACCTCTTTTTTCTGGGGGAACAGCCAATACACGGAGATGCATAAACATACAGAGCAAAATTACGAGATAACTGCGACAAATACAAATAATCTTAACAGTGATTCAAAGTATCATACAAGCAATGTGTCTTATTTTTTCCTTCTAAATTCTCAGGTTTTGGCTGTCGAAGTCCAGATTACGAGTAATATGACTTGAAGACACTTGAAATACCTCTCATCAAGCAAACAAATTGCTGCATAACAACCATGTGGTAAGTCCTACACTAAGTATTCATTGAGATAACACTGGCATGCTAGAATGGCTCCAGCTGCACCTACAGTGAAAAACATTTATTAACCATCTATTTCCCTAATGGGAGTATTTCAGCTTATAAAGTTAAATAACAATTGAGATTGCTACATATTTGCTTAGGACACACAGACTCCTTGTGCTGGGGTTGCAGAGTCGCATAGTAGCCTCACCTCCCTCTTCAGGAATGAGGGCAATGCAAAAGCAGCCCTGTGCATCTGTCAATAGAACACAAGAGTTACATTTCTACTAGGAGAATTCATAAGGCTACCACGCTACTAATATGCATCTCGATTTCATTTGACCATCCATAAGAACATCATTGTTCATCAGCATTTGTACAAGACATATTCACATATTGTAAATGATCTTTACCTTTGTGCTGTCAATATTGCTAATTCCAAGAGATTTACAGATTAAGGTCTCAAATTGGGGAATACTAAATGAAAATGACAACATATGAAGTGCTGTCAAAAGTATTCACCCTATACCAGCAGAAATAGGATGGTTAGAGGTCCAGAGTAGGTAGTGAAAGAAATTACAGTGAAAGGGATGAGACTTGCAACTTTGGTTCCAGAGAAAAGAATAATTGATGAAACTGTCCAGCAGACCAAGGTGTTATTTCATTGAGAAATGAAATGCTACCCCATCACTCTGAAGTCCATTTTAGTCCACCAAACAGATTCTATCATTTAAGGATTTAATGTCTAATAGAAAAAATAAGTACTAAGTACCCTGCTGAAATGTATAAAAACTGAATATGAAGATATGAGTTCTCACCTCAGAGTTGTAAAATCTAAGTTCTCTCTTATGATGGTAAGCTCCATCAAGCTTCTCAATAGGGTTTATGGGATTCACAAAATCAACAGGTGGCCCTTCCGTGGAGCATATCAGAAAACCGATCACACCACTGCATTGGAAAAAAAGGGAAAAGGAAAAAAAAAAAAAAGAAACCAGAAGTCAGAGGTCAGAAATATGAGAAACTTGAAAATTCCAAGGACATTCTCCAATTAATAAATCATATGTGTAAACAATAATAGATTATTATACAAAAAATCCTACATAACTAATAAGTTTGCCACTGGAAAAAGGATCATTACTATCTAAAACAATAATAGAGGAAAAGTGAAGCATAATTTCATACCTTGGATAAGTTGGAACACTTGCCCATGCATAATGAACAGAACCCTTGAATGTTTCACGGCAAATAGAGATCATATCTTCAATTAGGTGTGTATGAAGCCACATACTCTCTGCCATGTTACAGAGGACTCCACCAGGCCTTAATGCTCTAGATATAGTCTCAAAAAATGGTTTCTCTACAAGCTCTTGAGCAGGACCTAAATTGAAAACAAAAACCCCTAGTGAAAGCTTGTACAATGTTGAGTCTAGAAACCATAGAAATTTAGAGATATCATGGTTGTAACTTCCACCTGAGCTCTTGTACACTAAATGAGGTCAGAACAAAGCATATAAGCAAAGAGCACCACATAAATACTATAAGAAACTGTCAAAGTACTTTCTCACTTCTAACCCTTTTTCATGTTAAAAGAAACAATAGATTTTTTTGTATTTGCAGATCTCACTAAAACTATAGACAAAATTATAAGGGAACAAATATTACAACGTACCTACAGGATCTGATGAATCAACAATGATTGCATCATACTTTCCTTTTGGAACATGACGAAGAAACTCAACAGCTGTTAAGATTGTGTTACTAATATCAGCTTGGAATTATAGCATTATGCTTGACCATTCAAAAGAAATCCAGGGGGAAACAAAGAATGCAAAAGAAACAGGAAAAATATTGTTTCAACATACCATCGCCAACATGAAGACAGACACGAGGGTCCTCAAATCCAACAGCTAATTCTGGAAAGAACTTCTTGGAAACCTAGAATAAAGAGAATATGATAAATGGCTATTTAATGTACATTTCACACAAATAAGTAGACGGAAAAGATAACAAGAAGAGACACTAAAATACAACATACATCTATAACCATCTTATCTATTTCACATATATCAATGCGATCAACAGAACTGTGCCGAGCAATCTCCCTAAGTACCCCGCCATCACCACCTCCAACAACCAGAACCTGCGTCAAATATTTAGTTAAAAATCAACATGAAACCACATTGAGGCTAAAGTAAAAGCTTTATGGAACTGAGGTTACATAGGTAAGATTTCCATAAAAGCAGAAAAAAAAAATTGAAGTTAATCAGGCTTGAAACACTTTAAATCATTCAACCAGCTTAAGGGATATATCTCATGATTTTGATGACAAAAAGGACTAACCAATTTCAACAGGCTTTCATTCACAAAACCTCAAATAGATTACCTGATTGAGCACTCTTAGAGAAAAATTAATTTCAAATGGCAACTTAGAAATTGAAGGGGAAAAAACAGTTTGATAAGTGCGTCAATAAATAATGGAATTAGCAAAGACAAAACAGAAATTTCAGACTGCCAGATATAGGGAAAAAAAAACTATGCTTAGATTAGATGAGATTACAGTTTTGGGAGATGGAATTGAACAAAGTGGAAGATGAGCTATCATCTCCTGATATGCACATTCATCTTTCTCAGTCAACTGAACTATACCATCAAGAACAAGCACTTTCCCATAGGTTGATGACTGCAGAAAACAGTATCATCATTAGCAAGTTTGTGCACAATAAACAGAAGAAAAGAGGCACACAGAATCAGACACAAAAAAAAAAGAAAAAAAAATATAAGAGAACAGAGAGATAGAAAGAAACTAAAGGAAGAAAATAGTGTAAATCCAAAAGCAAAGTTGAGGTGCCAAACCTCAAAAACAAGGACCTCTTGATAGTCCGACTTTCCCCTGTATAAAATGTTTTCAACTTCCAGAGAATGTGCTTCTCCTATAGCAAAGAATTGAAACATTGTTAGTAAAGGATATGGTGTAATGTATGAGAAGTTGTCAATAGTTCAAATCAAGGCTCCTAAGCTCTCAATTCATAGAATAAGGTTACTTTGATTAATTATCAAAAGGCAAGCAGGACCCTAACATCGTGAGAAAAATAAAAATTGCCACTGAAGGAAATTGTTATCAGATTTCCTCTGTTATGGTAAAAAATCAGAAAACAATTGTGACATGTCCATTATGAAGGGAAATGATATTTTTAAGAACTCCAAACATATATAGATTAGAGAGGGAAGTTATAGGTCACCAGGCCACATAGGATTGTTGAAGAAAAGCCTTTTACCAGCTTTATCTGTAAGTGAGGAAAACAAGGGTCACTATCATCAAAGAAAAGGAAAAGATTAATCTGTGTTATTCTGGTAAATAATGAAAAAGAGCAGGAAAAGAAAGAATGCCAAGATAATGACCAGAGGAAGACTGATATTCCGAGAACCACCCAGAAACAACAGTAGAATGGCATTTTGCCTCAAGCTCAGGAGCTGAAGCCCTAGCCTTCAAGCAACAAGAAGGGACAGCCTTCTCTGAACCACTCCCATTATTCACCTTCCCATCCATAATCTTCTGGCATTCCAAACCTCTTCCTGCGCCTTCCCCCATAGATTATCTTTTTCTTCTTCGGCTCCAGCCTCTATACGTCAAAACAAGTTCATAAGTCTCCTTCTTATGGAATAAAGCCATCATATGTACACACATGCAGACTAAAATTTTTCTTAAAAAATCATCTAAAACACCAAAATATGCATGATGATACAGAGAATTAAAGATGCTCCTTTAAAAAAACAAAGAGTTAGTTCCCAAATGTTCCTGATGGAAAAAGCACCAGATTCCTTATTCTTCTAGCAGTAGGCTCATACATTACTCACCATTTTAAAAATATAATAAGCCTCAAAATGAAGAGGCACTGGAGAAAATTTAAAACAAAAAAAAGAGCAAAGAGTAAGAGTGCGGAACAGCAGAGAACCTTCACGGTAGAATTGCAGACCAAAAAAGGTTTTTATTTTTGTAATTCAAAGCTATCATCAGTACTCTTTTGAAAACAAAAATTAACACAGAAGCATACTGGTTATGATCGTGAAAGTGCCCAAGGAAACTAAATAAATACAACCTAAATTAATGCCAGAAGATTCTGATATAGTAATAACAAAGGAAAGAAAATCATAATGATTTAACTGAAATGCCCTAATTAACGGAAAATGAAAATTCCTCGATTCTGAAAAGGTAAAAACGTACCTAAATCAAGCTATACGATGATTTTGCACTTTGTGATTTAATCTCGTTCCAGTTCTAGACTAAATTAAAAAAATAAATAAAAGGAATATGAACAAATAGAAAATGCTACTTCTAGAAATGATCAATGTCGAAATTTTCAAAAGGCCTTAGGTCGGTCTGACCATAAGAATAAGAAAACGAAATAAAGAAAAAAAGGCAAGAAAAATTCCACCAAGTTACGTAATGGAAGCGAAATTTTCAAATCCATTTTAGCTGCTTGCAAACTTACAGTTAACCAACAAAAATTTTAGTTAATGCAATTACTGCAAGCCAAACCCCGTTTTTCGCTTTTATAGCAGAAATAAAGGGATATAAATATTAAAGCCAAAAATAATAATAACGCAAAGCTCCAATTCTCTCCCGTGAAAATTTTTTAAATGGAAATACTTAGGGTTTAG